GAGGACTGGAGCACGGGAGAGACATTTGTTAGCTTCATTCGGGCGGCCGGAGCAGGAGAGAGGATTTGCGGGTTAGCTGGATGACGTACTCCTCATGTCCTCGAGGGTGGAATTACACGTCAAATTCATATTGACGGTTCAGCGCCCACGAAGGGGTGGCCGTTGGGTGCTGCAGAACGTTGGGCCAAGTGCGAGACAGCGGGAAAGAGGTGTCGCGGGATCGAGGAAGTCGAGGTTCGGTGTGGACGGTGACGTTGCGTGGGTTGGGTTTGTGAGTGCCAAGACTCGTCGGCTGCAGGTACCAGAGCGGATGCCCAGGTCTTGGCGGAGCTTGTCGCTCGTGGCAGCTCGGTGGTGGTGCGGAGGAGGGTGTTCCTTCTCGCGAGCACGGCCGGACGAGACGACGTAGAAAAGGATCAAAAAGAAAAGAGTAAGGGTCCAGTGAGGTTATTTCCTCCTCTTTTGATTGCCTGACGCACTGCAATGCAACGCTCTCCCTCTCTTTGCCCAGGATTCCGGCTCTCGAGTCGCGATTCGCAGTTCGGTTGGAGTGTGGTGTGTGGTGAGTGGTCGTGTGTCGTGTGAGGTCGCCAGGTCCCAACAATGTCCCAGGTCGATCCTCCTCTTGCAAGATTCCACAAAAAATTACCGGCCGTCGCGCGTGCGCAATTACAATCGTCGTTCGAGTATCTTATCTTTTTCCGTGCTGCAGCAGCTGCCCTCGTCGCATTTGTTCTGTGTTCGTTCCCGGTGCCGCAACAAGAGACCAAAAATAAAAGAGTACTGGAAGAAAGGGGGACGGTCGAAGGTGGTTCCCCCTGAGGTCGAAGAATGAAACAGAAGACGCACCCGAGAACAGAGGCTGTCGTGAAGCTGACAGCCAAGAGAATGATTTGGGAAGAGGAGGGAAAGAAAAAAAAAAAACAAGAGAAAGGAAGGATGCGAAAGCGGAGGGGAATGGAGACTTGAGAGAGAGGCGAGACACGAATGAGCAACGGTATGAGCCACCGGGATTGGATGTGCGGTAAGGTAAGGTAGGCAAAGGTAAGGTGGGAAGCCAGGAGCAGGATCCGGGGTCAGCAAATGGCAGTCCAGTCCAGTGTGAGATGATGTCTCTTGGTGGCCTGTCCCATGCCAATCCCATCTCGTCCATCCATCCATTCCGCCCAGCTCCTCCTCCTGCTTTCCTGCTCCTCCTCCCCTCCACTGCTGGGCCGGTGCTGCTCCTGCTGCTGCGCTGCGTCTCGCTGCAGCCCCCCGTTTGTCGAGTGGCTGTGCCAAGGGTCGCTAAGGCGGCGCGCTAAGATTACAGGGCCGCTGACGAAGGCACCGTCCATTCAGCAGCGACCTCCCTTCCACCTCCGGGACAGCACAGCACCCTCCTTCAGGGGTTCTCCTTCCATGTGAATGGCCAGACGCCATTCGCCTTTTGCATCATGCTGCATCTCGCGCACCTATTTCTTCCAAACCGTCCCAACTTCTCACCCATCGCATTAACGACGAAGTGGCCTAGCATCTGGTATGACGCACTTTAGTGCTGACCTCGCTCACCTCACAGACACCATCGCGAACCGCGCAGGTCACGGACAGACAGACAAAGTGCCAGAGAGAGGCTCTGCCAGCCATCCATCGCACCAAGCAGCACCGCGCACCACATCGTCCGTCGCATACTTACGGGAACGCGTACACTTACGGGGCATCTTATTTGATTTCCAAATAAGGCCCTGGGAATTCGGAACCAGGGAGGGGGGCAGCGGGCAAGGGGAGGGGCCCACGGGAAAGGAAACATGGCTCCCTCCCTCACCTTCCCGCGCGGCGGTCGCGGCCAGCACCCGGGTTTAATGAAGACATCCATTGAGAAGACGCACACACACACACATCTCACACGGAGAACGAATAACAAAACAGATCTAAACGGAAACCAAGTCATACCAAGTATCCGTACCAAGAAAAATTCCCCGGGCGAATCTCAGACTTCGCCTTATGCAGGGACTTGTCTTCTCATTCCTCCTCCCGCCGACCATGACCACCACCGCCGAAGCCGGGACCTCCTGAAGTCCCCGTCGTTGCACGACACCTCGCAAACTCGGACGAAGGAGGGTGATCAAACGCGAGAAAACTTTTGATGAGACGAACACTACGGACGTTTGACATTTTGGCAGGCGAGCGACGCCCGACGACAGCAACGACAACGACGACGACGTCACATACGTAATCGCAATGTAAAAAAGAAAGCACGTCCTTTTCAATTCAGAAGCCAGCCGCGGCAAACACACATGTCCCATCGCGACTTGGGGGACGGGTTACTTACACCGCAGACTAAAAAAACTCAATGCATCCGAAATATTATGCCAAGCATCGCCCGCCCAAGTCCCGGCACCACAACACCCGCCCACTTTCCGCCGCGCTGAGCTTAAAAAAACATTAGCTGAAGCTATTCCCAGCCCTCAGCCACAGTGGGCGACCCCAAGGCAGCCACCATGCGGCGTATTCGTACACGCAGCCCCCGACCAAGGCAGTGAGCGACAATCCCAACCCGCCGCCGTAAAACAATACGAGAGAGCGTGGATCCAGACATGCGGGACTACGAGTCAAACCAACATCGCCATCTCCCCCAAACGTGCATCATTCTTTCACAAGAGACATCATCCCTTGGAATACTTTTCAGCAGCCCCCAAACATCTCTAATTCCCAACATCCACCGTACAACCGTTGTCTGAAATTACACTCAGGACCCTACCAAATATCTGCCCCCAAGCATCAAATCTCCCACAGCCCCAACTCTGTTTCGAAACATGCCACTTTCCTCTGACCCTCGCTCCCGTGTCTCTCTCTCCCTTCCTGTGTTCCGCGTCAAATCTTATTCTTATCTCGGCCGTTATCAATCGGTACTCGAAACATCGCCCGCCGTTGGACGCTTCTAGCTTTTCCTCAGCCTTTTCTCCCCAGGGCAAAATGGCTAGTCCTCTGAAGATCAGATACCCAGACTTGACGACGGTAGGCCAGAAGACTTTGACTTTGACCTCAACATCAAGATCCAAACACAGGTGCGGTGCCGAACCCCCTTGGCGGAAGCACGCCAACAACAGATGGAGGTCCCGTTAGCTCGCGGCATCCCCCTTTCCCCCACGGAACGACGAAGCCACTTACAAACGCCTCCAAATTTCCCAGCCGCAAAAATCTGCAGAACTACTGGATTTAAACTCGTTTCCGCGTCGCGTCATCGAGACAGAATCGGTCCTTAGCCCCAAGCCTCGTCGCGATCTCCAACCTCTTGCCTCGTGAAAACCCCTGAACGCGCTCCGACGATGCGGCTGACAGCGATCGCGGGCGGCAACATCTTCAAGTGATATCAACAGAAGATTATTGCAAACGCAATCCGAAGGCAGTTCAAAAACAACCGTGGACCAATTGCAATCGCCCAAAGGATCCCACACGCGACCCGTATCCCAATCCCCAGTCCACCAACACAATCAGATCACAGCTCATCCTTTCCCTTCCCGTCCGTTTCAACGTTTCAAAACACTCATCATAAAAGGCCAAGCTTTTTTTTTCCCAGCTGCGCAAAACGGGCCACAATCCATGTCCATAACACGCCCAACTCAAATAAAAAATTACGAAAAATGACATCAGCTTCCGACACTCACTCACTCACTCACTCACACTCGCACGCGCACGCAAACCTTTTGCAAATAGCGATCGGCAGGAACTCGCTACCCGCACCGGCCCCGACACCCTCCATGAACATCAAAATCAGTGCACACCTACGCGAAGGATGGAACTGCGGTGGGGTCAAGTACAGAGTAAGCCATGTCGTCAGATCATATCATCCACAGGCCGCAAAGACTTTCACAACGGCGGCAAGGGGATCATCCCGTCCGCCGTATCGAATACGCACACCGGCGTCCGTGAGCCCGCCCGGGACCGCACCGGCGCAAGGGGGCCGGCGGCGCAAAGTCTCCCCCATGCATCCATTCATCCCTCCCTGGGGCAAACGGGCTTGACACCCCCAAACGGCTCCGGCCCGAACCAGGAAGGAATCGAGGCCATGATTCCGAGACAACGGCGGCGATTAGAACAGATCTGAACATCACATGACATCTGTTGCACACCAGATAGGGGACTGCATCTCTTGAAACATCATTTACGTGTCTATTGTGTTATTATGATTCTCGCGATTAGAAGTGAATAGAACTCTTCTCCGTGCGCTTGCCGGTGCTCATGACGATCGTGGAGAGGACGCTGTTTGCACGTTGCCCTTGCCCGAGACCTTCGTGGCTACACGACCTGTGCCCACGGCAGCTCAGCTCGACAACTGTCGTGCGACCCTCCCCGCATTGCCAATGGCCTACTACGTGTCTTCTGAGCACCGTCACCCATGAACTGTGTCCTGTGAACGCGTAATGGTGTCAATTGTTACCATCTGTAACCAATCTCTCCCACCCAGCCGCTCGTGGCTCACTGGCGTCCAGTCCACGTTTCGCCCGTGTATGTACAGATGCCGTCCATCATTATACCAGTGGACCCATGGCCAAATCTCATACCAATGGCAAGCCCCATCTTCTGCGACCGCTGAGTGCAGATTATAGTACTATTCTTCGTCTCCTTGCTTTTATCTTGCACTCCCGTCATGTTGCCGAAAACCGCAAATCCAAGGGGGTGAAAACGAATCTAAATTATGCCAACCGTCAATCGGTGGCCCTCGTGTTGCCCATGTGATGATGTGCGTTCGTGTCCGTGACTCAGTGGTCTGATGCCCATACCGTGTTGCTGCAGGTGTCGTTGACTTTCGCCCGAGGGCCCTACCGGTGCCCGGTGTCGCAGCGAGGGCGCCTCATCCAATGCCCTTCCCTATTCTGTTCTGTGAAATGAAAATGAAACGCCGCCCTGGTATCTCAAAAGCGCAATGCAAAGACCGAAAATTTGTAATGGGGCCGAAATCGTGTGCGTCGTTAATGATGATGTGGTGTCATCCGGATCCGCCCGATATCCCCATCCCCTCATTCAGGATCGGGGTTGGTCGCCCGCAAGACTGGTTTATGAACCTTGCGGGAATAATCTTGGTCGTCGCGCAATGTGTTGATGCTCTCGGCGCTCTTGTTGTTCAGGTACAGGCCCCTTCCGAGGGGTTCCATGCGAGGATCGTGTGCCATGAGGCGACTGCGGCGGTGGTCGCTGGTCGAGTCGGCATCCCATCGTCCACCATCAACTGTCACGACCATTTCGGGATTACGCGGTGAGCCCGTCATACCGGCTGAGCTGCCACGGTGGCTGGGCTCGTCGTACTTTTCGTTCTCCTGGTGTTGCTTGCGTCGTCGGAAGAACAGGAAGAGACCTAGTCCTGCGAATGCTACCACTGCGGCAATAACTCCCACTACCACTCCAACGACTGCACCGGTGCTCAGTCCATTCGATGACGATGCCGAGCTCGAGGGGGACAGCTCTGAGGCCCCTGTCGCGCCATCGGTTCCCGTAGCCGTAGGAGTGACAGTAACAGTCCTAACGGTTCCATCGGCGGTGACGGTCTGGACAGACGTCTGCGGTTTTCTCGATGTCGTCGTTGTCTAGCACACAAGTCAGCATCAACTCTCGAGAAACGCACGTTGCCATCTACGAAATTGACAATCGATTTACGGCGTGTTGATGGGGGTTGCTGAGGCGTACTGAAGTGGTCGACGGGGTCGTCGACGTTGTTGGGTCGGAGGTTGTCGTTTTCTGAGGTGTCTCAGTCTCAGTTACTGTGACTTGAACGGTTGTTGGGACAGGGGCCGGAGGGGCCTGGTTCCAGACGATTAAGCCAGGGCATCACATGGGTTGGTGAGGTGACGAAATTCATCGGCCAAGAAAATCACACAAGAAATCATGCATACGCTTCACGAAACATCAGGAATGGGGGTGACTAACTTGTGTTGTTGACGCCGCAGCAGCAGAGGTGGTGGCGGCATCGCCACCTGCGGTGCTAGTAGGGGTCTTTGACAACTGAATGTACCCGTACCAGTTCGGTCGTGAACCGCACTTCTCGGTGTCGTAGCCGGGACAAATGTCGTTGCACTTGTCTTCGACATCGGCTTCGGAGGACGCGGCCGGGGCGACGTCGGAGCACCAGCAAGACTGGTACTGAACAATGGCGAAGGCAAAGTTCTTGCCTCTGCAAAAGTCGGAACAGAGACCATTAGTCTGCCATATACTGAGATCTGTGGCCCCATGTTAGTATTGGGTTTTCAAATGTAATTCATACGAAGGCTCGTATCGGCTGGCAGGGAGTACGACGTCGATGTCGATCCATTGAACCGCCGCTTTGCCTTCAGGGAATCGTAGACATACTTGCGCTCATTGATGCCGTATTTGAGCTTGAGCAGAGCGTCTGCTTCAGCTGTCTTGGTTCCAACATCCTGGAATCGAGCATCCTAGGGTCGGGCGTGGCGTGGGCCAGCGCAGCCCATGATAGAATGACGAGGGCAAAGATGGCCCAGCATCTCGTGAATCGATCGGTGAATGCCATTTTTCTGTTTTGCGATGGGCAAGTCTGAAAAGAAAGTAGCAGTCAGCGTCGGTGTTCGAAACTGAGGGGAAAGAATGATTTAGGTTCCGGCATAGGCTCGGAACCCATGACTGGGGGAGATGTAGGACTCACAATTCCCGGAGTCAAGGCCTCACAAAGCTGACATCTGACGTCTGGATCGGTCGGTGGGCAGCGGGAGGAAAGGTTAAAATCCCACTTCCAAGGTGTGATCCGTTGCTTGTCCTACACGACCACGCAGGGCAGTCGGGAAACCGCACGGGAGTCGACGCTGTGGCGAAGACGGCAACGAAGACGTCTCGACTGGTCGAACTGGCGAGGATGTCGAAGGGAAGATGGTCTTCTTTACGAGCAAGCGAGAAGAGCCTCCAGTGCGTACCTGCTCGAGCGAGGATGTGGCCGGTTGAGCGGAGGGTTCTGGAAAAAGGGCAGGAAGGGAAGTCGACCGGGCCGTGGCGTTCGTACAAGATTTGTTGGCGCCAAGTGTGGACGGAGGGCAGAAATGATGAAAGTGGGCGAAATCAAGGTGAAGGCGCGGAATAGCAGAAGCAAGCCAAGCACCGACCAAGCGACTGGATGATTGCCCCTAGAGACAGCTAGCGCGTGGATTGGGAATAAGAATTGGGGACCTTTGAGACAAGGCAAGACCGCCGGGTGCGCAAGCAAACGAAGCGTGGTCGAGGTATATTATGGCACTCCTTCTTGGGTGAAAGTGCCGGGTGTGCGTGTCGTCGAGGGAGTAACCTGGCGCCTGGGGGTGGAGGAAGGGCACACAAGGTCGGCTAGGCTGGGCAGGATGATGCCGTCGTGGGATACCAGGCGTCCTTGGGATCAGGTGCCGGTTCGGTTGGGTGGTGAGGAGGAGTAGTAGGAGGAGGCGAGGAGTGAGGTGAGGTGAGGTGAAGAAAGGTTAGAGGTGTCGATGGTCAGGCAGTCCTGGGAAGAAAAGAAGCAGGAGCCAAGAGGAGGGAAGCGAAAGAGGCAGGCAAGGAAGGCAAGCGAGCGAAGTGGTTGGTGCCGAGCAGCAGCAGCAACGCAATTGAGATCCGGTATCCGTGGAGTAACCTGGAAGGTATCTGGTATCTACCTAGCTACTGCGGATAGTATCTGCAGACTGCAGCCACAGGAAAGGTAACAGAAGAGCGGCGCCGGCAGCGGCCGTAGGCAATGTAGATTGTAGAAGCAGCAGCAGAGTGAGACCCCGAGCAAGCAAGCAAGCAAGCAGGCAAGGACAGGGAAGCGAGAGACGAATGCTGGGTGCTGCAGCAAAGCGATTGTGTGGTGGTGTTGGGTATTTCCCTCCTTCCTCTCTCTGTGTTCTCTGTGTTTTTTTCCCTCTACGGTGACCGGGGGGTGCTGGACAGACTAGCCAAGGCGGAAAGGTAAAAATTTAGAGGTGCTCGGGGGGCAGGAATGGAAGAAAAAAGCCGAAGAAACGAATGGAGCTTGGCTGAGATGCGGAAGAAGGCAGGGGAGAGGGGAATGAGAGGCGAGAGGAAGAAAACGTGCCCAGAATCGAAAGAGCAGAGCAGAGCAGCAGAGGTGGAGCGGCGGAGGGAAGTTACAGGTAAAAAGGCAGAAGCCGGGTCGCAGCTGCACCTCACCTCAGTCGACGATTCGATTCCAGGTTAGCAGCTAAGCAAGGCAGGCAAGCAGAAGCAGGGCAGACAGACGGATGCTGTGGATGGAAATGACGGCTGGTGCGAAAGTCGACGCTAGCAGCATGGGAAAGGAAACGACCGAACACCTCACTGATTCACCGTGACTGGAAAGCGCAAAACGGCAAGGACGTGGAAGCAGTCAAGCAGTGGATGGACGCCCGGGAGAATAATGGGGCAGTCACAGTCACCACCGGCGCTGCCATTGGGTGGTTGGAGCTTGCAGAAAAGAGTGGGTTTGACGTGACCGGGGTGCTTCCAAGACTGTCCAGGACCAGGGCCAGGGTCACGAACAAGCCAAGACCCAAGACCAGGACCAGGACTGAGAGAGGAACACGACCCGACCACCATTGGCTTTTTCTTTCCTGAGTTCTCAAGGCTAACGGGTAGCCAATTGCTCGAGGGATTGGCGCCTGCCCAGCTCTCTGCGTCTGCGTCTGCCTTCGGGTTCGGGCATTTCTATGGGTCTCATGTCTTCAGAATCCAGTCCAGTCCAACACTGAGGCATCTCGGTGGCATTGTGCTATGTTGCTGTGTTGTGTTGTGTTGTGCTATGCAGCCACGATGACTATGCACTCTCACTCGTCAAAAGCCGACAGAAGACTGGCGGTGGCGGCCACGATAACCACTCCAGGACCTCCTCTCTCGAGACATGGCACAGCAGGCGTCAAGAAGAAACACCATTGAACCGAACCAAACCAAACCAAACCAAACCAGTCCTACCACAGCGTTTGATGCTGCTGTCGCTGTTCACCGTTGCATCCACCACCCAATCGGGTTCCACGTCCATTGAGCAGGAGCCCTGCTATCGGGAGCTTTTGGTCCTCGCCCTCGTCTCCTGCCTCTTTGCGATGGATCTTTTCTGCCCGCTTCTCTGAAATCTTTTTTTTTTCTGTTCATAAAACCGCACATAAGACTCGGCATACCTTATCTGGTCTTATCCATATCACCTTCTCCAAATCCCCATGCCCGGGCAACCTGGACTCCCTTTCTTCATCTCACTGCCCTACGGCCCATCCCATGGGCAGGGAATTGAGCAATACGCGGCGACGCCAGATAGATGGGCGGCCAACGTCGACACGACATCCCGGGCGCAGCCACTCAAGAGTCCGCCCGCGCGGCCGGCGCATCCATCCCGAGCTGCCCTGAAGCGGTTTAGCACTTGTCAGGCGTGCAGGGTCTCGATGAACATCGAAATCAAACGCAGAGTGCGGACGGTCCGAGAAGACAGGTCCGAGTGCGCTGGCGCTGCCTGTCGCTGAAATGGCGAGCCATGAGTGGATAGACAGACGCCGTCTCTTCCTTCACCTCTGTCGATTGAGCCGCCTTTATTACCTACCTTACCTCACTCCCTATTCCCGCTATTGTCCGTTTCCCCCTTTCCCTTACAGCACACACACACACGCACACACACTTCATGATACCATACCATCCATCGGCCACTATGATCTGACGAGAGAGCACAGAGAGCACAGCACTGTCATTGTTCAGGGCTGTCACTGCGCGAGACCGGCGGCGGCGCGAGAAGACCACCATTGACACAGCACCCCCTGCTGCAGCATCCTGCCTCTTTACCCCCCTGTTCCCCTGACACCATGTCGAATGTCGTCACTCCCCCATCGCCAAGCGGACATGCACAGACCATGCCACCATGACAGCTGAGCGAGCCTGATAGGCGGATCTGAGAAAGTCGAGGTCGGGTACGGATACGTGTATCTGTGTACCTGGCCGATGTTTATTCAGCAGGCATGATGCCCGCATTCCTTGCCGTAGCCCGGCTGCGAACCTTAGCTGCGCCGCGGTAACAAGCGAGACCATCCCCAAGACTACTATGTACGTCTCCAAATCCTTCGTCCGCTGCTCCAAATCTTCCCCAATGGAACCGCTGAAAAAAAGTGAAGCGCTGAAAAAACACGACAGAGTTCGACCCCACAGCGGTGATCTCGCTGCACAGGCAACCAGGGGGGCCACCCCCTCCCAATTTTGGAAGAATTCCGCCGCAGCCTCTCAGCGTCCAATCCAGCACATCCAGTTGCCAGCGCTACCTTACACACTAGAGGCGTTGCAACGAACGACACGACGCCTACTACCTCACCCAACCTTGACTTCGCCCTCCGTACCTTACTATTCCATCGTCACATCATCCAGAATGCGGCAATCCCACAACTCCGACAGATGCCACTGCAACGACAGACACATATCGAAAATTCCATGGCGGCGAGGCGGCAAGCACGTTGTTGGCTGGCTGGATCTTCACCTCTGAAATCTGCCCCTTTCATCTCTTTGCTTATTTTAATTCTGCCCACTCTGCTGATTGTGTCCAAGACGTGTCTGAGTCGTGATGCATCCACCACTCACCCCCCAACCCAACTTCTTTATTGCCTTCGTTTTGCTTGTTCCTGTGTGTGCAGGGCGTCCACGTTTTGTTTGGTATCTCGCCTACTCTCAAACACACAACAGTGACCTATTGCAATTGCCCGTTTTCCGTCCCGACTCCCCGCCGCCCGGGTTGTCGTGTTGTTCAGCTTATGAAGGGCATCCATTGGCATGGGTGGTGGTGCTCCTTCGCTTTATTGGAATAATTGCGGTTTATGAAGGTCCCCTGCGTCCTTCCCGCTGCTAATCCAGTCAAACGCAGTTCCTTGGCCCCATCCGGACTTTGCCTTACGACAGAGTTGTACGAGGGGTTACCATCGAGGGCTTCTTCCTCCCATTGTTCGCGGCGTCAATACGAGCCCATGGCCGGGACCGCCGGTCGTCTCGGTCAGCGAAAGCAGACAAATCGCACGAGGACCCTACTATCTGATACTTTTACTGCTTATTGCCCTTCCCACCTCTCTCTTTGGCCGTCGGGTCGACCTGACGCCCGGGTCTCACCAAAAACAGGCTGCTGGCAACGGGGCACATTCACGATCATTCCTATCGTTGCCCCGGGCGGGAATCATCACTAAAACACCGCTTCTCCTCTGGCACGTCGAGTCATTTCCGTTCCATCAAACTCCATTTCTACCGGTTCTCTCGGCTTCACTCAATGAATCACCGACCCGCCCCGGCCGTCTCGAGCCCGTCAAAGGCGAGGCCCCGGACCTGAATCCTCTGCAGTCTCATCCCTCTTTCTGGTCAAGCAACTGTTTCTCGTTCCTTTCCACACGTCCCACTCACACACCTTCACATCAACAACATCGACAGCGCTGGTGCAGTCCCCCCTACCTAATCCATTCGCGCGCACCGATAGCAGCCTAGCATCGCTGCCAATTTGGCATCTTGGTTGCGACCGACCATCGAAACTTGGCTTCAGATGCGCGCGCCGCCTCCCCGTGTTCT